TGCTATTAAATTTTTGTATTCTGCGAATAGTTATATGAAAAGGCTTACACCTTTATACATATTGCGTAAGTGGCTTTGGTTTTTTTATTTTTTAATGAAAGTATCAACATTAGTTGTTCTTTTATTATAACATTAGAGCTGACATATTCATTACCTAAAATATGAACTTTTTTTTTACAGAAATTCAAAGCAAAGGAACGAAAATTGACCTATTTTTTGGCATTGTAACGTTTTCTTTTAGAATTTGCTCTAAAACTGACCTTATGACTTATTATTATTTAATTTGAGTTATTTTATCTACTATTTCTTTGCAATCTAACTTGTTATATATAGAATTATTTTATCAGATTTATATAACTATCTTTTTTTATAACTTACAATACTTGATTTTGTCAACTTTTTTATATTTTATAGCTTGCCTTCGTTTTCATTTACAATGGATAAGAAATTTGACGAATTGATAGCATATGATAATGCAGAAGACTTTTCTGATACAGATAGGTAAGAAGTAAGATATTTTAGTTAGTAAGTTGTAAAAGTTGTAAAAATTAACATATCTAATATTTTCTTGTTTATCTTCTAATTTTTAGGTTTAATGATATTACAAGATATGGTGAATATGACGAATACGGTAGATGCGACAGATGCAGTAGATATAACAGATATAGTGGATGTGACAAATGCAGTGGATATGATAGATGCGTTAGAACTATTTGTTAGTAAAACTTTTCAAAACTGGGACTATGTAGCAAAATTCATGAAGAAATATGCTACTTCTAAAGGTTATAGAGTACGGATAGGTAGTGGCAGCAAGGTAGACAATATAATAAAGGAAACTATAAAGTAAACTTACCTTTGTCATCATGCCAGAAAGGCAAATCTAGCTGAAAACTACTTCATCATTCAAATGCATCTTCTTATTGAATAGGATGCTCATAGAAAGTCAACATTTAGGTTAAAAAGAATAAAAATTGTTTCAAAGTCACAACTTTTTATAATTAACATATTAGCCATGAGCTTCATAAATTAGTAACTTATTTGATCCAATATTACAAAAATTACCAGAAAAAATTTATTAAAGAAATTTGTTGCCAAGGCGAATGCTACTGTATAGTATTGAATAATTTGAAAGAAATATAAAACTAGAATTTATTGACAAGATTTATATAACACTATTAGTAAGTTTTATCATAAATCAACATCAAGTGAAGAAGACATAGGATTATTATTAAGAAGACTCCATGATAAAAAGATTAAAGATCTACAATAGGTGGTCTCGATGAAATTTGATCCTATTACTTCTTTGTTAACTCATCTTTTTGGATGAGTTCTAAGCAATAAATTTTGTGGTTACATTATCATAATATAGTAATGCATGATAATACATGCAAAATGAATCATTATAACTGCCCTTTTATCTCTTTTTTTTGTACCTGATAATAACTTAAAAATACGTATTATTATTCAAGCTATTGTTGATGATGAAATACAAACTTTTTACGAGTGGGTTTTTAAATGTATTAAGGAAGCAACTGATATACTGCCAAGAGTCTTTGTAATAGATAGTGACCCAGCAGTCAATGGTGCTATTATAATACAGTTTCCTGATACTTTTCACATGCATTGTATTTAGCATATATGCCAAAATTTACTAAAGTAATTAAAGGGAGTATTTGGTTCTGATTATAGCAAATTTATAAAGGATTTTTTTACAATGAGAAATAGTTTAACAGAGGAGTAATTTAATAAAAGGTGAAAATGTAGTAAATTTACTTGAAAAATATACAATAATACTGTAATAAAATTAATAAATATTGTAATTCTTAACAATATTTAAATTATTAAATTGTTAACTTTTATTTTTTTTTTATTTTTTGTTTGATTAAACAATTTATTATTTAATAAAGGTAGGAGAAATTATTACAAGACTATCCAAATTCCAAGGATTATTTAATAAGGTCTTTAGAATGTAATTCTCAATCATGAGTACGTGCATTTACGAGCAAATATTTTACAGCTGATATACAGTCGACTTCTTATAGCGAGAGTGAAAATTTAATGTTAAAATAGCTTTTTGGAGGGTCAAACCTTTTATTATATGAATTGTTTGATTTCTTAGAGGAAAGATATCAAGAAGAGATTGATTATTGTGAATTTGTAAACTGAAAGCAGACAATCTTGCAAATAGAACCCAAAATGCAGCAAAGTCTATTTTTGAGTCAATGGTAAAGCAATTAAATGAATTTGCAATGCCAAATATTATAAAGAAGCAGGAGAAACAAATGAACTTAAGTCTATACTACCATACTATAGAAATTGATTTTGAAGTTGCACGTTCTATAGAAAAGGTGAATTTTCTATTTGTTATGTTCAAATTCTATAACTTAATAATAGAGAATCAGTCAGACTTATATAGAATTAGGCATATAATGTTGATGATAGGCTGTTCAAAATTCTATTTTAATGTTACATTAGCGGGATTTATAGAGAAATTTTTTCATATGTAACTGGCCAAATATAAAAGCATCACATTTATCATTTGTTATTGGATTATCGACATTGGAGCAAAGTAAGCGGAGTAAATGCAAATAATGATAATTAAGTTATTATGCTATATTAATATTAGTTATAGAAGATCTGTTTCAGGAATTGGACTTTTGATTGGTCAGAACAATTTCTCCTTTATTAATATCAGAACACTAATACTCTTTTTAAATTTTTTTTTTATAGGAATTTAACGAATCAGACTGATGTATTGATAACTTATTCAACTGCCCATAAGTACAACTGAGCCTACTTTTAAAAGATTCTTTGACAATTCTCAAAATCTGAGAAGTTTTATATTTAGAAATTCTAATACTTTCTATTTCATATATCTTTTGGATGACTGTACCTATCTTTGTACATGTATGATAAATAAGACTCATGGTTACTCATATCACTATTTTTACTGTGTGATAACTTTTACGCCTACTGCAAGGTTTCATATCAGTTTAATGAATCAGCGTTGGTACAAGGATGTATTGCAAGGAACTGATATATTAAATAGCGAATTTGTAGTTATTTCTCTGAACAAATCAGCATCAAAAACACATTCTCTTCTAACAAGATTCTTATAATTATCAAATTTATGTGAATTTGATGCCAATCAGGTTAAAAAAGCTGTTGTCTCAGATGATGAAATATCTAAAGCTATATCGAAGAAACATAAATTTAGTGAACTTTGAGGTTTAAGAAGAAAGATAATAATAGATGCTATTGAAGATAACAATGAGGATAATTATCATGAACTTCTTGAATTTTTTTCATCAATTCAGAGAAGATTATTCTAGAGAATTATTAATGACAATTATGATATTAATATTAATGATAATGATATTATGATAGATATTCAAAATTCTGTTGAACAAAAATCAAAAGGCTATCCTAAAACAAAGAAAATTAAAAGTGTTATAGAAGAATCTAACATCAAGATCTAATATAAGTGCAAATCATGTAAGTAAAAAAGTTATAATAGTAAAACTTGTAAAGCTAATAAAGAAAATAAAGTTGAAGGATGAGTTTTATATTTTTTTGTGTTAATCAATTAATATATGCTTTATTTCTAATTATTATTTATTTAAAGCCATGAATAATTTTATTATTTTAATTGAAAGTGTAAAAGAAAAAAAATAAAAATTATATAAATTATAAATGCTATTGTTATTTTTAGTTCAATAATCATGTGATTATATCACATGATTATAGTCATCATGGCGACAGGATCATCAAAAAATATTACTCTATAATTATTATATAAAAAATATAGTTTAATTGCTGGTCTGCCGATCAATCAAAGTAATTTATAATAAAATTTTGAGGCGATCATCATATAATAATCTCTTAATATGCAGTAATCACATGATATAAGTTGCATAAAAAAAGTGTAACCTAAAAAAATTTAGCAAATGATAAAATGAATCTAGAAGTTTTAATATATTTAATTATAAAATGTTTTAATTTCTGCAACAAAAATTTTTATATGAAGGAAGCTGAGATTTGGCTCAACAAAAATATAGTAAATTTTAAAATTTTATTAATTTTAAATGTAAAATTATTATATTTTTCGCCGCTTATTATTACTACTAGCACCAATATTATTATTTTTAGATCTTTTATTAGTTTTAAGCTGGCCACTTTGATCCTGAGATTTACTTATTACCCTTTGTTTTGCTGATTTTTACGTAAGTATACTAAATATCTTATTATCTAACTTTTAACTATTTTGATCTCTGGCACTTCGTCTATTGAAATTTCACCATCTTCTGCTAATTGTTTTAGTTGCATTACTATATCTTTTACAGACATCCAATCTACTTTATCCACATTTTCTGTTAAAAAAATCCTTCTAAATAAGTCTTTACTATTACTGTTATACGCTTTTTACTATCTCTTTGACCATATTTATAGTTACTTCTAAACGTCCACCCATTTTCTAATGAAAATTTATCATTTACATTTACAATAATAAAATATTATATATAAAAATTGTAATATATTACATAATAATAAATAACAAAAACAAAATACCTCTAGAATAGATTTTTTTTTTTCTCTTAGATTCTAGTGATCGGTCGCCTAAATATTCTAACTCTGCAGCTTATATGTCTGATATGTCATTGTATCCAGAAATAAGCCCCTTCTGGCTACATTTAAAGCTGGTCTGAACTGCCGAAACACTAGCCTTCGCAACTGACTATGTATCTTGGATGCCGCATGGCTAATTCCTGATACAGTTAATACGAAGGATTCTGGTCAATTACTAGAAAAAGAGTCTTTATCAACCTAATTCAGAATAGCTGTCTGACACAGTTAATACGCCCAGACTATCAAAATCATCTCGAGAATTGAACTCAAGCCTCTCAAACCCTAATTGACTCATAGACGTCACAGTACTTCAACTAGAAGCTACCTATAACCCACGACTCTTGTTCAATCCAAGTTATACAGCGTCTACTATTGACCCATCATGTCCCATTATCAGTAATAACTCCCTTGCAGATGATGCGGCACTTGCACATTATAGGCCAGCCTCCTAATACAAGTTCTGAACTCAATCGGTTCTGTGTAATGTGATCACTTACATAATCACATAGGTTTACCATATTCTATAAGTTCGTGATCTTCAACGCACATAGTTTGTGCGCATCCTATGAAATTCATTTCCAGAATTGAACTAGTAAAACCTGCAGTAAATTAATACTGCAATCTGTACTTGGCAGGTACTGAACTAGGATCTATTGCAGTGTAACCTAC